AACACCCAAGCGGATGTGCAGGAGTTACATCCCCACCCAATTACTATCAATATTTCCAGATGACCAGATTTTACAAACAACCAACATCGTATTGAATAGAATAGAATTACAATTTAATAGATATCGGACATGATATGGATTTTATGTATACCTTACTCAGATGGGTAATGTGTCCCATCAGCTTTCTGCACCTCATATTATAAGGGTGTTTGCTATCTAAACAATGGTGATTTACTTACACATTAGGGTAGAAGCTTGTTATGCATATAACTTTACCATATTGAGAATTATGGAATATGAAAAATACTAACAGCGGGGTATTATTCAAGAAGCAGCAGGAGAGGTGGTGGAAGCACAAATAGGTACAATGTCCGCTCCAGCAAGAAGAACAGTGAGCAGCACAGTAGTGACATCACCAAATCTCATTCTAGGTCTCCTGAGACTGGCAGTCAGAGGCAGCATTGCCTGAGATCTCACATTGCAGATATACAGCTATAGGTAGAGAAGTGCCTAGGACTAGGTACTGAAACAACACTGCTATCCTTCAGGAGGATTCTTTTTTCAGAGTACTGCTTCATCACAATAAACATATCTAGAGTTTCCTTATAAGTTAGCAAATTCTCACTTTTTAAAATTCAACTCAACTTTGATATAGTGTTTAATGAGACCTGTTTGATTAAATCTGTGAATTACTGGACAAGCATGTTTTGTTTTGCAGGGACAAATCTACTGTCTTCAAAAGTGAACCCTGAGGTCTTCGCTTGTGCCTTTCTTGATTAAAAATCATTTAGTGGTGCTTTTTCTCTTGCTTGCCAATGCATTTGTGAGTAACTAATCCACCGAAAAGGCTTGTACACGCATTTTACACATATCATGTAGCAGAGAAAACTTTTCATATATAGTGCATCTCTAAAAATAAATTGCATCAAAAAGTTTGCTGTTTTGTCTATCTTTTGTAAGTACTTATTACTGGTTAAATAGAAGTACATGTTAACATACCAAAGCTCCTTCTGATATGAAGGCACATCAAGCAAAGTTTCAGATATAATCTTAAAAAATTGCTCTGAGATTAACGTTTTCTTTATTAGATTGTTCCTTTTACTACTTCATGATCTGCTTACAGAGTTAAGTGTAATTAGGTATCCTCGCCATCCCTTTACAGGTGTATATTTCTAAGGCTAGTTCAGCAATGGTTGCAAGGTTCAACAGAAAGTATACACATTTATAAGGGATGCCTTCTTTCATATAACAATGGAAATCCTTTCCTGTCATTCTCTCCTCCCCATACCCTTAGAACATGTCCTTTTGTACATGCTTTCAGGTATTTATTTGAAGGCATGCAATGTAGAGGTTTAAAGATAAGGACTGCACCATTTTACAGCCAACCTGATGCTCCAAATCCTGCACCTGTCTATATCCTTTTTAGCATACCTGCATACCTGCTTCAAGAGCTATTGTGGGAGCCCAGAGGCGTTTTTTTGTAGCCATGTCCCAGGGTGACCACACTGCTCCTCATAGACACACTACTATGAGTAACAGGTCTAGCAGGCTGCACCCCCCTTGTGAGGCCACTGTTTAAAGGCTTGTGTCGCCTACCTTTGGAATTGTGCCGATAACATCAGTTTGAGTTGCTTCTAGGATTATTCAGAATTTATTGATAGGTAGATTATAGCTGTAGTTGACCTTCTTCTGACCTGAATTTCACCTTCTTCAAGTCAGTTTTGTATTCCCATAGACCTAAACAAAAGTCCAGTAAACACAGGCCCAAAGGAGCTGTATGATAAAAGGTGACTTAACAGAAAAAAAGAAGTGCTTCTCAGCTGATAGGAATTTCGCCCACAGCATCGCGTGTTCTCAATTGCCAATGATGTTGGACACATCTCATGGAAATAGACATAAATCCAACTGAGTGAAAGGCAGCAACTCAAAATAGCTGAAGGTTGAGAAGCTATGACTGTTACAATCCTTATAAATATGGAAGCTGTTATTGTGAGAGGAGTAAAAGCAACCCTGTCACTATGCTCCCAAAAATTTGTGTTTCTGTGCTTACTGTAAAATACTTTACTTGGAGTCCATTGAAAGACACAGGAATTCTTACACTGTCCGGTTATACTGCTGCCTACAGAAGAAATGGGCACTGGCAACATAAAAGTGATTGGCCAGCACAGAGTAACCCCGCCCACAACCATCATGCCTCAGTATAATACAGAGAGCATGAAAAAACCACTGAGGGGAGGGACTCGCATCCCTCAATGGACTGCAAGAAATTTTTTTAGGATAAGTAAAAATCCTATTTTCTTTATCGTCCATTGAGGGACCCAGGAATTCTCAGACTATCAGGGTATCCAAAAGCAGTCCAACAGAGGGGTGTGCAACATAGGCAAACAGGCCCAATAAAAGACAACAGAAAACTGGGGACTGCCTACAGCTCAAAGAGCCACATGAAGGTCCCAACAGCTGTAGCTGGCATCAGATCAGGCCTAAATATCCAATGATAACATTTAAGAAAGGAAAATAGAAGACCATATGGTAGCCCTGCAAAATGGGAAAAGTTGCCAATGCTTATGCATGAAGCATGGACATATCTAGTAGATTGTGCCTTGACAGGACAGGGTGAAACCTGATCCATAAGACCATAAGTGTGGATGATGGTCGCCTGAGTCACCTAGAGATGGTGAACAGAGAAGCTGGTGTACCCTTATAGAGTCCATCCAGAATACAAAAGGAATCAGAAGAAGCAGGGGCTGAGAGGTAGACTCTCACAGCCTGGACCACATCCAAACAATGAAGTGAAACTTCCTTTTTGTGAACTGGAGCGAGACAGAGGGATGGGAGAACAATATTCTAATTGTGGTGAAAAGCATAAACTACCTAGGCCTCAACACCAACTTGTCCATATGCAAACAAGAAGGGGTACCTTGCAGGATAAGACCTCCAGTTCAGAAACATGCCTCATAGAGGTAATTGCTACAAGAAACACCACGTTGTGGTTCACAATAGGGTGTAATGCCTCTGATGGGTTCACATGCCTCGGGCACTCTCAGACATAGTAAAGGGAGGAATACCCCAACACAGTATAGTTTGCTACATCCACTTACGTTGGTAGGTCTCCAGAGAAACGGTCAGTGAAAACAACCACAGCTCTCGCCCGACAAACCATTAGAAACCCCCAGACATACTGGCCTGAATAGTGGAGTCCTGTATAAACTGAACATAAAAATGGTATTCACTAAAGATTGCAGGCCTGACGCAGAGGAAACATCAGTATAGATAATGAACTGGGAACCTGAACTGCTTGTCTAGATGGCGAGCCTTCCATATCCAGGCCTGAATTCACCAGTAGCTATAGATGACTGTAGAAACTTCCAGAAATCCAGGGCTGTTGCAGGGAGAACACCAGTATAAAACTGGAAAAACCTACACTCGGTGGAAGGGAGAAATTTCCACGATTTCAAATTATCCGGCACAAATCTACATGTACTGTTGTCTGACTGGTGAAACTATCCAGGATTTCATATATCCAGCATGAATCTACTGGCAGCTGGTGATAGTAGAAAATCTTTCAAACGATCAACCATTCTTGGCCTTTTTTGTTACCAGTATCCACTTCTTCTGTAGGTAGCAGTATAACCCGACAGTTTAAGAATTCCTGTGTTCCTCAATGGCTGAAAAAGAAAATAATTTACCATATAATCCAATGGCATGTAAACACATTTGAAAGTCTGAGATGCCTTCTTTCTTTGCTGAGCTCTGGTTTCATCCTCCCGGCCGCTATAAGAAGCCACAGAGAGCAGCAGGGCATCAGACATACCTCGAACTTTGGCAGATGCTGAGGACTCCATACTGGACTTATCTTAAACTCTTTGAAGGATATGATGGGCTAGGTCAAGATTTGCTCTAAGAAGCTCTACAAGCATATGGAAACTCATTGGTGCAGGACAAATTCCATCTGCCTGCTTTGTACTCTGTACCATCAGTGAAAAAGTCTTAATTTGACCCTATTAATCAGAAGCCCCATATAAAGCATTTCAATGCTTTCCCCTTGCATGTAAAAATATTGTTTATATAATATTTAATGTGTATGCCTGGTCAATGGGGCAAGGGTATATTTAGCGTTTCAACAAAAAGGGTGCATTTTAGGGCACAAATAATGGGAATTGGTGACCTTCCAGACGTCAGCGATAAAGAAGGGAGGTGTTGCCCTCAGCTACCTGGATCTCTACCTTTTTTATTTCTGATATGAGTTCATAAAGAAATGCAGGGTTGCCTTCTATGTCTTTTTTTATAACTACTAGCAAAGCTTTGTCCATCCAGAATGGGAAAGATTGGGCATATAGCAAACAATGATAAAGAAGTGTCTTGCATTATATACGGGAGAAGAGCAGTTTGAGCATATGACAGCGAGTAGTATACACAGGAAAGGATTGCGGATTGTATGATGGGAGGCAAGAAGTGTAGAAGAGTGCAAAGGGTATGCGATGGGGAAATATGCAGGAGGAGAGTGGTCGGTGTATGACACCAGGCAGCTTGTGTAGAAGAGAAATGCAGACGGTACTACAGTGGGAATTGCATGGAGAAGAGTGTGTACGGTATTACAGGGAAATATGTGCAGGAGAGACGTAAGGAGAGTATAACAGCAGATAGTATGTGCAGGAGAGGAGTGTGGAGGGTATGACAGTAGGCAGTATACGCAAGAGAGTAGTACAGTGAAAATTAGCAGAGAATTATGTGCAGCAGAATAGAACAGTGCGTATTACGGGCGGGTGACAAAGGGCAACATGTCCAGCAGAGTTTTCTGAGGGTATGACAGGGGAAGTATGTGCAGCAGAAGATTGTGGAGGGTATAACAGTGGACAGAACAGTTCATCTTTTGAATATTCTTTTGAGTATTTGAAGACATATTTCAGAGCTGCATTTTTTTTTACCAATTCAGTTTTACTACAAATATCATAAATACATTAGAAAAAATATACAGTACAAAAGCCTGTTAATGAATCATCTATAAACGTTATCCTGTTATCAAGCAAGATGGAAACTCTGATAGTCAGGAATGTGCAGGCGATGACTGAAGGCTGGCCAGACCAACAAGCCTTCCTCTAAGGCTTTGTGAGCTAGATGAAATTATCTAAAAGAAAACAGAGACATTTTTCATTCAGTAGGGTTTTCAGTAGTTCAATAATTCTAACAAACTATCTAAAAAATATAAAACATTTAAATATATCTCCTTAAATAGATAGTAGATAGATGGGTGGAGGGGAAGTGCTATGGCTACAAATTGATCTAGCATTTTTCAAAACAATGGGGTCTATTCACAAAGCTGCCGAGTGCAGCCGAGTGAATGACCGATCAGAATTGAAGTGAGCCGAACACTGTTCGGCTATTCACTTCAGGCTGGTACGGCTGATTTCAGCCATACATCGGCTGAAATCAACCGAACATGTTCAGCATGTTCGGCTGACCCGAACTGCAAAAGGAGTTTCCTATTGTCCGGCGGCTCTGCTGCTGTAAAAAAAAAAAAAATGTTAAAAATATTCCAAGGCCAGACTGTTAGACACAAAAAAAGATTAAAGCAGCTCCAACTCTGTTTGTTGCCTTGGTGATGTTTAGGGGCTGCAAAGGGACACATATAGTGTTTTTTATCTAAAGATACAGAAGACTGTCAGACTGAAGAATCACTGAAGGAAATGGTCAGAGAAATGTTCGACAGGAGTGACTAACTTCCATAGCCCAATATCACCACTCCTTAACAGCAGCACCAGAGGGAACGGCGGGAATATCAGAGGATCTAAGACAGTAAGTACTCTTTGACAGTAAGTATCTTTGCTGCACAGTAGTGCGTTACCGTATTGCGGAGGTGTGATTAACCACAACACAATGGTGTGAATGGATCTTAAGAGAGAAAGAGAGAGCGAGGACAAAAAAAAAAAAAAAAAAACACTAAACGTTATTGCATGAGATAATATGCTGACGTGACCTTTTTCAGTGAACTATCGCATGTGATAAGACAATGTTCATTTTATTAAAAACAAAATGAACGAATGTTACATAAATAACACATGAACTGAAAAAAACAAGATAAATATAGAATTAAAAGCATTAAAAAAAAAAAGTATGAGGTAATCAGCACATGGCTGTGGCAGCCAGTATTTGCAGCCTGTCAGCCTGTGGCAGTTTGCAAGTGTTCTTAACCTCCAAATGTGAGGCAATGGAAGTATTCAAGAACACATTGCTGGAATAGAAGTTCACCCAAAGAAGATACACAGAAGAATGCTGTCCTGAAGGCAGGAATGGGAATAAGGAAAAAAAGTTTTTATGCTTTGGCTGGTTTTTAATGTTATGGGTGCAAATGACTGCACCCGTGTGCCTTTTTTCACCGACAGAGAGAGACTTACTGACCTCTACCGATACATAGTCTCCTGGTTTGACTCGAACTTCAGCCTCAGAACTGCTTGCTACAGGAACATCAGGAAAAATGACTTTGATGTTACCATCATTTCTTCCACATAATTCTGTTGATGACCGTTTACTGACCTGGAAGACATAACCAATTTGAAAGAAAATATAAAGCGGTTTCCATGTTACATTTTAGACTCGGTTTTATAGTACATTCATTTTTTTGTGTGTGCACGCATAATAATAACAGAAATACTATGCTGATATTTTTGCACTGATTGGCCGGCTCAATGCTGATTGGCTGGGAAGCCGGTTTCCCAGCTAATCACAATCGATCCAGCCAAACAACATGGAGACAGCTTCCTGGGCGATCAGGAAGCTGGGCGGCATGCCATTACCCGCCCTCCGGGCCTACTGATTGCCAGAGAAGCCGGCTCCATGCCAGCGGAAGCACCGGTATCAAAAGCAAAATATCGGTACTTGCACTCAATACCGAAAAAACAGTATCGGTGCATCCCAAATCACTATACTGCTTCCTTGTTTAGTATCATTACCTCTTGGTCAGCTCCTTGTTCATTGGACAGATTTGATGATGCAAATTCACTGTCCAATGACCAGGATGGAGGTGGAAAGGTACAGTGTGCAGGTGAAGTGTGCAAATCAAACACTGCCATACCTTTTAGACAGTAACAGCTCTCATCCCCTATTGTCTAGCGGGAGGACTGCTCTCACCCGCAGGTATTCTCAGCTCAACAAGTGCAATTATCGACATGTCCACTTGCATTTTTGGTATATCTCATGGGTGGTACATTAAGCTTAAGTGAGAATAAAGTGTATGTTTGGGCAATACATGCATCTGTTTAAAAGTGCTGCAAACATGGAAAAATATGCATGTATTACAGAACTATACTGCATATATACTTATTGTGCCCAGGAATACACATAAATGTCACTTGGCACCTGCCCAGTAACACCCTCTTGGGTTGGCAGCTCTTCCTAGTGTACCATAAAGGCCCTGCAGCTGTGATAGAGTTATGGCACGGTAGTAGCAGCAACTAAAGTGAATAAATATCTGTGTGATATAAAAGGGAGCATAAAATAAAAAGAACTAGAAAATTCTGCCGGGATAGTTGTAGTTATGTTACTAGTTAGTGTTGTATATTAGCTAGTGCTTTTACAGGCCTCCACAGGAGCATTTGTACACAGAATGTGCAGTAAGAATCGATGAGGGCAGATTTTCTAGCATGCAAAAGGGTATAAAAAATAAAATTCATAAAAATGGAGAGCAGGTCATTGTTTTGTGGTATTTTGGCTACCTGCTAGTAGTTTTATTGCATGCTCAGGGTTCAACTTTTAAAAAAGTGATGAAGTCCAAGCCATCCCATGTGAAAGTGAGGTACTCACTCCCTCTACTAGAACTAAGTGTTTGTTCCCAACTGATCTCTTGTTGACCCGTTCTGCGTCCTCTCTGAAGACTGCAATGAGCTCCTCAAGCCTCCTTTTCTTCACCTCAGCTGGGACGTCATCATTCAGCCTGTGGAAGGCTTTTGTTTTCTGAAAGAGATACAAAATGCTTGACTATTAAGCCAAAAAACGCTAGAGTCTCAGGTACAGCAAATTCCACCCAATACTGTGAAGGTACCTTCCTCATGCTGTAGGCAAATAAAAAAGTTGTGTTGTAGGACACATCTCTTAGCAGGGAAATGGTTTGTTGGTGGTCTTCCTCTGTCTCCTGGCAGAAGCCAGTGATGAAATCACTGCTGAGGCTTACGTCTATCAAAAAAAAAAAAAAGAGAGGGAGGTTTTAGGTAAATTTCAGCAATGCCTGGACATACACTGTACATATACATTTAGGTATTTTAAAGCCGATTGCAGTTTCATGAATACTTAGTTCTTTCCCCTCTAGTGGTGAAAAGTAGCACTGCGCAAAATTAAAGACGTAATCACCAACCTGGAATATGTTCTCTTATATTGTGAATCAGATCAATGTAAGCTTCTCTGCTGTACCTGCAAAACAAGACAAATAGGATTTTTGTACTCGCCAGAAAATCTTTTTCTTGGAGTCCTTTGAGGAACACACGGCTTCTTGTTCCATCATCTCTAAGCAGCTCAAACAGAACATCATCCATGCCTATGGTCTCGAGGTTTAGGTGTCACCCTTTCCAGTCAAGGAATACTCTAGATCTAGGTGTACTAGATCTGTTAGTGCCATTTGGGCTTTTCACCGTCAAGAAACTGTTTCCCAGATTTGATGTCTTCTCTTCACACATTCTCTAAGTTCTACTAGGTGGACGCTGCAGTCTAATCTCATGCCAGCTTCGGGTATAAGGTCCTTCAGATGGCTCTCCGAGCTGCAGGCAGACCCCAGTTCTTTGTTTTTTTCTTGGGCCTCTTAGAGTTTGTTTGCTGTGTTGCCAACCCCTCAGTTGGATTGCAATTGAACGTCACAAAAGTGAAAGACTGTCCCTCAATGGATGAACAAAGACATTTTTTGTAGTCATCATAAAATTATTTCCCTAAAGTCATATGAGAGACACAGGTCCCACCAATCTGTGTTTATAAATTGTACTCAGAACTAGTGATGAGCTGCGGCATGTTGCAAACCCAGTTCTGGCTGAGTTCGCCCAAGCCTGCTCAAAACTGTGACCAAACTCCCCTTCCTTTCTTCCTCCTGGCTCAGTCAGTTGCAGCAGCAGCATTTCCCATCCCTTTGTGGTGTGTAGCTGCAGGGTGGGGAATGTGCCTACAGTAACTGACTGGGCCGTGAGGAGACTGTCGGTCACAGTTTTGAGCAGCCTTGGGTGAATTCAGGCAAACTGGGTTCACACGTAACCAAGATTCCTCTCTACTCAGCACCTGCTTTGTTACAAAACTGAGGCATGCTGATAGTAGGAAGGGTTATCCTTGGTTGGCCTATGTTTTTGGTTTGCATGTAGGTGGCATTATAAACCCAAAAGGTGAAAGACTTCCTGTCTTCCTCAATGGACAAGAAAGAAAAAAGTGATTCTTTGTTTCAATGTTCTTTAGGAAAAGAAAAAGAAAAACCAAATGTATGCAGCCAGTACAACGAGGGGATCTTCAAGGGAGGAGTTTTGATGTATTAGGGTAAAGAAGATGCTAGTAATTTAATTAAACAATTATTGTCTTTGAGATGCAGGGCTTAGACATAATGAGTCTGATTTACTAACAGGGTTGAGAATCCTCAAAAATTGTTTACTTCAATTATCCAATCATGCGAGAAGCAATTTCCTGTTTACCTTAAAGGAGAACTATGGGGTTAAGGCTTTTCCCCATAGTTCTCCTTAGGGTAACGGGAGGACACAAACTAGCGTCCTCCCGTCACCCTAAGCTCAGTATAGCGCGAGCCATAGCTCGCGCTATACTGAGACGCCACAGTATAATCTCGCAGTATACTGAGACGCCGCAGCTGAAGCGGATCCCGACAATTATGTATGGATCCACCCAGCTGCGTGAGTGACAGCTGGCTCTGCCTATCTAGAGGCAGAGCCAGCTGTACCCGCCCGATCCACCAGTCAGCGCTGGAGGATCGGAGCGGGGAGGGGGGAATCCAGCCCCTCCCCTGTCACGGCAGAGAGCTGTGACAGGATCGAGAGGTGAGCGAACAGCGGTATGTGTTCGCTCACTTCTCGATCTACTGAGCCGACCTGTGACAGTCTCATTGTCACAGGTCGGCTAGAACTATGAGGTGAGTGAAAAGCACTCACCTCATAGTTCTCCTTTAAATAGGCAATCATGTGCAGAAAAAATAATTAGGCATTTGCTTTTCATGCGATTGGAAAACTTAAGTGAAAATGAACATTATTTATAGAGTGAAGATTCTCAGATCCTTTAGTAAATCAGCACTGATATCTTAGCAAACAAATCGAAAGACTTACCCCCTACGCATGGCTTCTAAAACCCTGTTACTTCCACTCTGAGCCGGGATGTGAAGCTGTTTGCAGATATTATGCCTTTCTTTTATTAGGTAGAGGACCTTTAAAAAAAAAAAAAAATACAAAAAGCAATTAGTTTAAACACAATTCTATGAAAGGAGGACCTCCCCTAACCCAACTGACCCAGACCTACCACACATTAACACAGTAGTGTCAGTAAAAGGAATTGAATTACACCACTCAGTATTCAGACAAAAATATTGGCCTGTCCTCACAGGCAGGCAGAGCTGCAGGTGAGATGCAATATGGCAGCACCAGATTTAATAAATACATGGCTGCTGCAATATGCTGGAGGCTCTTCAGGTACTAAACAGATGGGGCTGGTTCATAATTCTTCACTTCCTGCACAGTCATGGTATGATAGCATTCTTTAATAAAATACTGCATTACAGACTACGTGTTCATAAAATCTTTGAGTTTGCAGTATGCATCCTTTCCTTTTAAAGCTACCGTAGTGTCAGATACACTGATCAGCCATAACATTATGACCACCCATTTAATATTGAGTAGGCCCCCCTTTTGCCACCAAAGCAGCCCTGACCTATCAAGGAATGGACTCTACTGGACCTCTGAAGATATGCTATGGCACCTGGCACCAAGACACTTGAGCTACAGTAGTTCTTCTATTGTATCAGACTACATGGGTCAGTCTTGGCTCCCCACGTGCATCAATGAGCCTTGGCCACCCATGTACCCAGTACCCACATTGGTTTTCCTTCCTTGGACCACTTTTGGTAGGTCCTGACCACAGCAGGCCGGGAACATCCCACAAGAGCTGCAGTTTTGGAGTTGCTCTGACCTAGTCGCCTAAATATCACAATTTGGCCCTTGTCAAGGTTGCTAAAATCCTTACACTTGCCCATTTGTTCTGCTTCCAATACATCTAATTCAGGGACAAAATGTTGACTTGCTGCCTAATATATGCCCCCCACTTCCAGGTGCCTTTGTAACCAGATAATCAATGTTATTCACTTCACCTGTCAGTGGTCATAATGTTATGGCTGATCGGTGTATGTTGTCCATGTCACATTTGTGCACAAGCAGGTATTTATCATATCTCACTCATCCTCAGGCATCACGTAGGCATTCTTGAGGGTCAGCATCTGCTTTCTGGACAAAATACTTCCCCTTGATGATAAAGTCATGTAAATCCTGATGCCTGTGCAGTAGTCTTTGTGTCTGTCGGTACATATCTTACAGATCAGCCCTCTACTGCCTCTAACCTTATGACTTGCTAAAAAGTTACAATGTACAGTTCCAATGAGTGACTTGTTTGCACTATTTGTGATATATAGTAGTTACGTTATAGAAGGCTGCAGTATGTACCAACACTGCAGTACTGTACTGCAGTACCAACCTCATCTGGAAAATCCTTGGGATGCGGAGAGGTAAAACGTATCCTCATTTCTGGATCTATCCTGGAGACTTGATCCAAAAGGTCCGCAAACCTCAGCCCCCCTTTCTTAGGCTTATAGACTGTACTGAAACCACGGCTCATTTGAGACGTCTCTGCAGCAGGGAACTGGACTGAAGACTTATCAAGGTAACTGTTGACATTTTGACCGAGTAAAGTTACTTCCTTTACTCCCTGCAGAAATAGGAAAAGCAAAATAAAGCTGGTGAGGATCCGACTGGAACTTGTTCAGCTGCATTAACCAAGTAAATGCTAAAATTTCAAATCTGTATCTGCTGGGTAGTAATATATTTATCCAGACAATGCAGATCTTCTTACCTGAGCAGACAACATTCTAATTTCTTCTAGGATGGAGTGGACTGGGCGGCTTCGTTCACGGCCACGAGTGAAGGGGACTATACAGTAGGTGCACATGTTATCACATCCTCGCATGATGGAGCTAAAAGAAAATGTGATTCACTTATAATAGAATGGATTCCTTATAAGCCTTAAAGCAGAACTCTTGGAATGATCTTCTATGGATACTTACATTGGTGCAGCTTGGCTAATATTTATATCTGATCTCCGGATGGATGCTGGGGATGCTACATTCACTTTATTAGTCTGCGCTACATACAGAAAGTGCTGGTCTCATCTGGCTTTGGCTTCCCCTTTGCACACTGAGCACAGGGAGGTGCTCACCGGGCAATGCACCCATTTAAAAAAAAATAGCCTTGTATTTTTTTTAAGGAATAAATGGGGTTATCGGATTGGACATGGTGGACAGGAGAGGCAGATGACCTCACGCTCTTCATCTTGTCCAATCAGAGAATGCTTTGTATTCCTTGAAGAAAAAAAAAAAATACCAGACATTTGATGAAAGCCGACGTTGCCCAACGAGCATCTCAAGCAGGCCCTTGCCCTATATAGCTAATGGTAGATCTAAAAGGAGATTGCCCATGAAGGTTTTAAAACACATGGTCAGATTTATGGTTCACAATCCACATAAAACTAGTTTTACTTGTAGTTATCCAGCCACCTACTGGCTTCTTGTATCTCTAGGGAAAAGGTTTGCCATGCCCACACCAAGGACTTACATACTGTTTCTGCAATCTCAGAAGGCTCAATGCCTTTGCTGTATAATCTAGAATATAAAATACATAAAAATTCCAAGGGAAAGTGACAGTCCTGAAAGGTCAAGGCCCATGAGTAGATCTAGGAACATAGTTCTGGAAATTTTAGCACTGGACTGTCTAATATACAAAATATTTAGCACTCCAATTTCTTCCCAAAGCTGAAAAACAAGTTTTGAGTAAAATACCAGCTTACATATTAGATCATTGCAAAGTAATGACTGCTTGCCAGGGCAGATGGTGTGATAATACAACAATATCTACAATCCAATTTTTTGGATATTGGAAGGAACATCAGGTCACTGCAAGGTCCAATAAGGGGTAGACTGGGTCTAAAACCTCAAAATATAAATTAAAAGGAAATCATGTGATAATGACCATGCCAGCCTGTGCCACCACACCTGCTCTGGCATGTACTAGTGTGCTGCTGACTAATTGGATTATCTATAGCATACGAGCTACAGACAATCCAATCAGGATTGTACCATAGTAGGCAATTTTGATATAAAGGCAGAAGGGACGATGGGATTTAGCCAGTTATCCAAGGCACTCACCCACTTGGTACTTATAATGGCCACTCCTCGCTGTCCAAGATGTCTTCAATTCACTATTGTAAGCTTGAATAGGGAGGACTAATTTGCCACAAATTGATCCTTCCACTTGTGCCAGAAAAGCTTTAACTGGCATCTCAGAGCAGCAATACACCTATGCACCATGGCAGCCATACATCCCACCACTTGCACCAGGACATCCAGGCTCGGCATATCAAGTCATGCTTCCACAGACCAACAATGCAATGGCAGCTGACCACCAATGGAAATGGGGTTTATGACCTCCAATGCCAAGGGTCTTTTCCACTGATGATCGACGGAAAGGGCCTTTCCGTTAGATCACCAATGTAAAAAGAGTTATTCCTTTTGGAAAAGCGTTAACATTTTGTTATGATGCCTCTGACAAGGAGAGTATATATTTGCTGAGATGGGTTCACATGATGCAGGACAATGCAACACCAGCAGGTCAGGATATGCCAAAACGTCCCTCTTGGGCAACAGGTGATGGGTTAGTCATTGCTGAATTACAGGTGTAGGAAACAAATTAAGCTACCAGAAATTTCCCTGCCGTTGGCTCTATTGTCATATTAAAAGGGACTTACACAAAGGAAGAAATACTGTTTGCAGAAGTTTGCACAGGCATGATGTCAGCATAGGTTTCATCTAAAGAAAGGAGAACATTGGCAGCTTGCTGACCCGTTTCTGCCACAGCGAGAAGTCGAGGCAAATCACGGTAAGCATCAGGACCAGCTAGTACATCCACCAGTTTCTCTCTTTGAAGGATCTCCTCTTTCAGCCGTTCTGCCATACATCCTTCACCATGAAAATAAAAGAGCACAACACTATGATTAGCACAAAGCCTTGCTGCGTCATTTTACCACTTTTCCAATAATGGGTTGTAATTTGACCTGCTATTTAAAGTCAAAGAAGGGACACGCTCCCTGCCTCTCCATTTCATAAAGCCCTCTATGAACTTTTAAGGCAGTCAGGAAGCTAGCAGCAACTGCTTGGCTTCTTTATTAGAAAGCCCAGTATGATCCTCAAATTCGTAGGAATTTATATAAGTATGAAAACAATATAAAGTACAGTTTATTAACTTCTAAACATTAACAAGAAAGGACCAGACACCATAATACTTTCACCTTGATATCCATCCTGAGGAGATGGCATAGATGTGTGCCACATACCTAATAGTCCTATCTTCAAAGGACCTTGGGATTTATTTCGGGTTTTCTTAAGATGTGCAAGTTGCTTTAGACGGTTCCATATGGTCTGTTCCGCTTTTTCCCTGCCAACAAATATCAGAATTAAAATTCACAAATACGGGCGTATATCATTTTATTATTGACAATGATGGAGAAAGCAAAACAAGGCAATATCCTGGAGCTAGTAATATTGTTTATTTTTGTGTTCCTATCTGTCTTTATTTTTACTGTATAAAAGTTCATTTAAAAAGGAGAACTATGAGGTGAGTGCTTTTCACTCACCTCATAGTTCTAGCCGACCTGTGACAATGAGACTGTCACATGTCGGCTCAGTAGATCGGGAGGTGAGCGAACACATACCGGCGTTCGCTCACCTCTCGATCCTGTCACGGCTCTCTGCCATGACAGGGGAGGGGCTGGAATCCCCCCTCCCCGCTCCGATCCGCCAGGGCTGACTGGCGGAACGGATGGGGGAGGGGGGCGGGTACAGCTGGCTCTGCCTCTAGATAGGCAGAGCCAGTTGTCAGTCACGCAGCTGGGCGGATTCCGGCACAATTGTCGGGATCAGCTTCAGCTGCGGCATCTCAGTATACCGCGAGCCGCAGCTCCCCATATACTGCGGCATCTAAGGAAAAGCTTTAACACCATAGTTCTCCTTTAAAGTATACCTCTACCATATCTTCATAATAGATACAACAGTGTGATGATAACATTTGTTTTTCCAGTGATGAAGGTTTTATGGAATTTAAGAAATAGCCACTTTGCAACTCCAGGGGAGTTTGAAAAGTTGGGGAACATGGACATCATGTGCCTAGGTAAGCTCTGACACCATAGGACACATAAGCTTACTTACAGGGTAGACTCCTGCAATAAGGAGGTGGTAATACAGTGTGAATTGATGAGTATACCTTGCAGGGTGGGGGCATGGGGACAGAGGGTGGCTATATATATATATATTTATTTATCAAACATAGTGTATAACTATATAAAAACGCAAGAAAGTGTTTCAACCAACTGGCTCTCTAGCGATCAGTCTTAGTTGCTGCTCTCCTGCACTAAGATCCTCTCAGTCTGTGCACAGTCCTTATTGGACACTCCCTCCAAGTTATATGTTATTCATATAGCAGTTGTCAGAGGTTGCGGGCAGCTGGTAACCCTTAGGTGTTGTCATTAAACGCCTGGACCACTGCTATCAAACCATACACAAAGTAGTCTTTTTCTGCTTAATTTGATCATTTATGTTTTTTTCCCTGTGGTTGGCAAACCCCAACAGACATATTTGATTGATGATGCAGATCTCGTATTTATGATATTTTATGGTAAGGCAAATAATGGTGAATAATAGAAAACACATGTAAACGACAATGGTAGGCTTTACCTGATTGAACATGTAACCAGAAGGATCACATCAGCCTAAAATAGAAATATATATATTAATAATATTATTAAGAACACTATCTGACTTACAGAAGCTACGGATAAGGTAGAACAAGTCCAGGAACAACCAACAAAAATGTTGAAAGGTCTGATGAATAAAACTTATCAGGTAAACTTAAAAAACTGTATTAGGATAAGAAAGCTTATCCTAATACAGTCCTGTAACACCTTGAATTGCGTGCTGTATGTTGTAACCACGTGCTACCACTGACTTCGCAAATGTGTTCTGTTATGTCAAAATCAATAAATATCTTTGATTTAAAAAAAAAAAAGAACTTATCAGGAGAGACTACAGGAAATGAATATGTATAGTCTTGAGGAAAGAAGAAAACTATTTTTAATATGATGCCAAGATCAAGAACACGGCAACATACCCTCACACTAGCACGAGGAAAGTTCAAAACTAACCTTAGAAAATACATTGTTGAAAGAGTAGTTGATGCTTGAAACAGACTTCCAGCAGAGTCAGTCAACAGAATTCAAACATACCTGCAGTAGAGAGAAAAATCTGGTCCCCTCTCCTGCCCGGTAGAGCTGAGCAATGTGCCAGAGCTGTGTAAATCTCAATAGTGAATGGACATAAATACAAATCCTTGTATTTCTTTGGATCTTTGATTTAAATGTACTTTGTATTTATGTCCATTCGCTACTGAGATTTTCACAGCTCTCACACGCCACACTGCCGATCGAGACACCAAGATCTCTCTGTGATAAAGTAATACCTTGGTTTACGAGCATAATTCGTTCCGGCAGCATGCTTGTAATCCAAAGCGCTTGGATATCAATGCGAACTTCCCCATAGGAAATAATGGAAATTCAGATGATTCGTTCCACAACCCAAAAATATTCATATAAAAATGATTACAATATTGTACTGTAATATAATACTGTACAAAATCGAAAGAAAAAAAAAAAACAATCACAGGTACCTTTGTGGCTGGTGTGGGGGGGGGACGAGAGAGAGGAGGATTATTGTGTAGGACAACTTTCACTATCACTAACGGAATCACTGCTACCTCTTGACTCAATGGAATCTTTTTCATTTCATGGAGCCTTAACAAGGAATCTATCCAATGTGACATTGCATTGTCGTTAAACAGACACATCGCTCGCACTGCTACAGCCTTATTCGGGTGGCGCTTTTCTACAAAATGTTGCTCTTATTGCAAGACATTGCTTGTATATCAAGGCAAAATTTTTCTGAAATGTTTGCTTGTCTTGCAAAACACTCTCAAACCAAGTTACTTGTAAACCAAGGTATTACTGTATTATTAACCCAAACTTATATGTAGGGTACATGTCCACTTAAAAAAAAAGTGGTGCTGTATGGACAATGCATAGATCTTTATGGACCACTGCAATGTTTCTAAAGCAGTTTAGTTACCTCAGCTGCTGTATTACTCCTCACGTATCCAGTATTCTGCAAGATAGACCAGGCGATTTCTGTATCATTAACGTTCATCTGACATCCATATGTCTCAAAAAATACTAAGGAAACAAAGACATAATATATTAATCTCTCTCAAAATACAGAACACCCCCTAGTCTATATCATTACACAGCTTTAAATTATATCTATTGCCCTTTCATATACCTAACAATATACAATTGCTTGTGTTCAAACAGAAATTAATTTTGTAAAGTATCTCATTCACATTATTATTATTACAGGTATTTATATAGCGCTGACAAAGCAATTTATATGCTGATTATGACTGATGGCAATGATACAAAAAGTGTATCTCTATGTAAAAAATGTTTTCCTTTTGCATAGAGTGGTGGTGGGGGGATGTGCAGGCAGGGAACTATTGGCACTTTGGGGTTGTGGGAGGCGGCAGAGGACGCTGGACCGCGCCATCAGTGGCTCTGTCTGGCATCCCACCCAGCTTACTGACGGCACTGGTTGCCAGGAGCTCGGCGGGAAAAGCAATAGTGTTTGCATTGGTATGTGTGTGTATGTGGGGGCAGGGAGCGTTTCAATTTTTTTCCACTTCACTTAATTGCTACCATAAGGGGGGCTGGAGACTGATGGCTCTGAACGTGGAAATGCTCAGTGCAGCTTGCTTCCTGGTTTCGTTCGTCACATGGAAGATGTTGACTGATGTCCTCCCGGACTACGTCCAGGCACCCATCATGGAGGTCCCACACACATTTAGAAGGTACAGGTGATGCCAGGACACGTGGCGGGGGTGGGGGCTTAATTACCAGTGTATAAAATAGCCAGGTGGCTTTATAGCTACACAAATCACATCTATTGGAAAGCCATAGCAACCAGGAGATTGTGTATATGTGTTAGAATACACATTATTGTATATATAGCAATAATGTCTGCAGTATACAATTTTGGTCAGTAGATGGCAGTGTTTATAAGTTCTGTTATACAGTATCTATGGTATACTCTGTTGTATTGAATAAGATAGGAGAATAAAGCTGTGCCTTCCTTCCTGTTTCAAGCCTTCTGCAGCAGACTGAGCCATTCAAGTCATTTTATAAGTAGGCCAGTTCATCCTGCTCCTGCCTCCCAGGCGATTGCATATGGCGACTAGAGGCTGTTAGGCAGCTGGAATAGGGGACCGGGGGGGGGCGGGTTGAACTGATAAGAATACCATTTGTATGATTTAAAAAAGCGCCTTTGTTTAAAAACCTAAATGCCAAAAAAAAAAACTGACCCAAAGCTAGGAAACAAAAGGCACTGTGTAAGGGAGAAATTATTTTCTCCGCATACCTTTATTATTCACCGGTGGTGAAAAACTATCAGTGATATAATGAGGAGCATCTTCTTCTACAGGTGAAGGTACAGCAGCTTCTGGAGTGGCAATAGCAATAAACTCTTTAAGATGTGGGCCTGCAGCCAGTCTAGAACTGAACTCTTCCTTCCTTGTTGCAGCTTTCTGAGGGCTGGAGACGCCGTTAGATAGAAGTCTACAAGACTGCAAGATTTTGGCTCGGGAAAGAAGACGGGACAACTTCAACAGTTCCATGAGTGGCAGCTAATACCTGCACTACATAAAGATAAAAGAAAACAATGATTTACTACAAGCGATATCAAGAAAACGGCTCATACAGAAAACAGCACACATGTGATAAATATAAAATCAATTCACTATACCTTTAAAGTGGAACTCTAGATATACAATATAAGATATCTATTAGGACAAAAGTATAGGAGTTGTCTCCACTGACTTGTTTTTGAAGGTGTCTGTTCTTTCATCGATTGGTAAACCACTGACCAAGAATAGGATCGGAAAGAGAGTGGTGCTGGATCCAGGGACTACACTGGTCTGCCCTTCCCCAGGCTCAGATCAGTGCCATACTTTTTTTCCATCTGTGTCCCATTAGGGAGATTTCCCTTCACTTCCTGACTGATATCCACAACAGGAAGTGAGAGCTAATCCTTCCAAAGAAGAGAGTGAAGTCCCTGGCAGCAGTCATACTGAGTCTCTGAGTTATTGACCTGGAATAAGTACGAAGCTTAAGATGTTCTGATGCACTCTGACTTCACTGGCTGCATGTTTGAGCTAGACAGCTAGCACTAATATGAGGTCAGCAGCAGCAGGCCCTGCATCTCTCTCAGTACAAGTTCCCTTTTTTCATTTATCCATGCTGTGCCATCCTTTGATGAGTCAACCACCACATGCTCTATGAGCACACATGCTTCCAGGACGCATTTCCCAAAGTACCATCAGTGGTGGGCAAACTCTGACCCTCCAGCTGTGGTGAAACTACTAATCTCATGCTGCATCTGTCTCTGGGAGTCATGGGAGTCATGTCTCTGGGAGTCATGCTTGTGGCTGTGAGAATCTCGCAATGCCTCATGGGATTTGTAGTTCCCTAAACAGCTTGACAGCCAGAGCTTGCCCACCCCTGATGTAAATAGTATTACAGCAGACACACACGTCAGCTACAGCGTACTCACGTTTGCATATCTCTACAACATAGAAGAGTCTCAGAGGACACAGATCAGAACAGTCTGCAACCCACAGCGATCACACATGTGCACCTCCACTGACAGAGGACATGCTACTTCCACTATAGGAGAGAAAACACGGTGACGTCATCATCCTGAGCCGATCTCTGCAGCGCCATCTAGTGTTGGAATGTGTAATGGCAGGAGGACCCTCACCCTGCTGGCATTGTAAAAGGGAAACCTGTTCATTGTTGGATAGCGTTGTTACTGCAGCTGCCATTGCAGAGCTTCTGCCCTGATTTCCAGGGACTGTCCCAGCTTTTAGGGGTTCGTCCCTGTGATTGTTTTGTCCTTGGAGGAGGCCATGGCTTATTTTTATCTATGCAATAAAGCCACTGAGGGAGATTCAGCATAAACAGACAGAAATAAAGATTATAAAGTGATATAGATGCCACCTTACAACTCTCTGACCACCACGGATGGCACCATGCAGTGTATTTACATGCTGAGTAAATAGATACCAAATATGTTAAACGGACACTAAACTCAGGAGTTAAATCTTAAAAATGCATTCAAGTACCATAACTATTAACAAAAATGTATCTTATTTGTGTATCACTCAGCTGTAGATCCTCAAATCGTCTTTGAATAGGCGCTGACCAGTGGCGTAACTAGTGACCTCAGGGCCCCATGCAAGAATCCATGAAATACCCCCCCAAGAAGAAACACACAGAATTTTTTTTTTTTTAAAACAAAATTTACAAGGAAAAAAAAAAAAACCACTGTTCTCTTTCATCTCCCCATTATCTCCCCCTTCATTCCGTTCCGCAACTCGTTATTCAGCTTCCCCATCGGCTGTCTTCCCGACCAATCAGGAAATCGGCAGCTAGTCATTAGACGCTGCCCGGCTTAATGATTGGCCGGGAACCTGGCTGCGTGTGTGACGAGGGAGCCTGGGGCCAGCTTCCCAGCCAATTAGGAAGCCAGGCAGCGTGTAATGACTCGCTGCCCGGCTTCCTGATACCAGAAATTTGTGTATCGGGCTTGGCATCGGAACATTTGCTCAAGTACGAGTACTCACTAAAATACTCGGTATTGGCACTGAGTACTAGTATCGGTATCAGTTCATCCCTAGTGGCTACCTATGATCCCTACGTGTGTTGTAAAGTAGCTCCAAGCTACTTGACTGCACGCAATTACACGCTGTCACTTGCACACCCAAATCTGTGCAGGTCTAGGTGTGCGCACTTGTACGTACAGTGTCTGCGCCCAATTGTGGACACCCGGACCCGCAGGGATGCAAAGGTTTGGATGTGCATGTGACAGAGTGTAATTGCGTGCAGCCATGGGGAAGAACAGGCTGCTGCACACAATTACACGCAGCACTAGTCCCATCCGGGAGCTCGTCTGGTTACGGGCATACACGCTGTATAGACGTGGACGCTCGTCTGCATGAGCCCTAAAGACAGGGCACAGCAAATAAACCTGCAAGGGATTTTTAAGGTACATTGTATATATAACATCAGAAAGTGTATTGTTTTAAAACATATCTTTTATTACGATTCTTTAAAATACTTAAAAATAAATGATAAAAAAACTGATGTAGATTCCTGTAGTACAGTCAATATCACCTCCCCCAGAATCACAGTGAAAAATCATACACGGATATTACATACATTTTTGATAATTTCTAAATAATTGGGTTTAAAACTGTTCTGGATTTTCAACACACTTCGTGGACTTCTTCAGGAGGATCATGCGTAAAAGTAGCAATATTGGAACCAGTTGCTTAATACACCATCAACTATGCCATCTCTGAGTGAGCACTCCCATGTATCCTGGAGTAGGAGACAAATCCACATGGAACATGGAGATCGATATCCCCTTCCTTCTGGCGGTGGAATGTCCCTCAGCATCCTCTTGTCTAATGCAGAAGCATTAGGCATGATGATGTCACGGGTTCTTAGACTGCCGGAGGCTGGGGAGGAAGAGACTATGGAGACTGATCCAGCAGCCAAGAGGGACAGAGGATCAGGTGACTATATTTTCTTTATTTTAGCCCCTAGACCAAAACCTTTGCAGTGTGGGGGTAGCGCCACTGCAAGGGATAATGTTTACATTTTCTGGAGTTCTTCTTTAACAATCAACAAAATAGCTTTAAGACAATCCCTCATTGTCCTCTATAGCTACAAGTATTGTGGTGTAATTCTTCCTAAAACACTACATGAGAAATGTGGATGACGGGCGTCAATCAGTTTTGAACAGTTTACAAAATCTGCTGTGAAAGGATGAGGTCCGGGTTCGTCACTACCATGGGATCGATGGTTAAAGTGACATTAAACCCTCAGATTTTTTAACATAAAACAATACTGTAATGTGTGCCTTACTGTTATCTATGGTTGTTTCCCTTCTCTTTGCTGCTCTTCCTTTTAAATCTGTATCTGTTCTCATGCTGGGCAGAACTTCTGTTTTGCAGCAGACTGCCTTGTCTCAGGAATCGATACACGGTGTCTGTGTATACGTTTGTATAGGCTTGTAACCTGAGCCAGCACTACAGGAAGAGGCCCTGAGCTGAAAAGGGAAGTTCTCCCCAAGCATGAGAAGACATGAGGATTTAAAAGGAAGAGCAGCAAATAGAAGGGAAACAACCATGGATTACAGTAAGGCACACATTACAGTATTGTTTTATGTTAAAAAATCTGAGGGTTTAATGCCACTTTAACCCGGGTAATCCGGTAATGGGTGGGTTTGAGCAAGAAGCTGAGAACTTTTTAAAAAAACCCCTCTAACTTCACAAGCCTTTTTATCTTGAGAAGGACTGGCGATTCAATTAAAATATGTGAAAAGTAGCTTGAGGGGGGGGGGGGGGGGGGTGAAGCCAGCAACACGGG